ATTAAGGTTATTGTGTAAATATAGTTTTAGGTACTTGTGCTCGATCTTGTTTGCTATAGCCTGAGATAATAACTAGACTTGGGGAAGAATGTGAATACATAGGCACAGTTGCAACAGTTGAATAAAAAATTGTGAAAAGAACTTGGCTCTAAACTAAAAGTCAAAGGAGGAAGGTAAGTTGTATAAAATATGTTTTAATAAACCATATTATTTTTACATTCTAAGGGGGACCCCCCACACACATATATTCGCACATGCTTAGCCTGTTTATGGTCCATTGTGATCATGGATTCTGCCTCAGTTGTTTGTCAGGCCCTGTTTTATGACCAGCCCTGGTTTAGCAACCCTCGTACCAGGGGCGTAGGATGCATCTAAAAGTTGTGGAGGGCCTTTGAGGGACACTTTTAGAATGAAAGGGGGGAGGAGCTAGGTCATCCCAAATTTTCCGGACATACGAAACAATTTTCCGGAGATATCACATTTTTTTACTAAAACTGAAAAACATTTTCCGGACATACCGAAAAATTTTCCGGATATATCATATTTATGCCCGGAAATGAAAAACATTTTCCCGACATAACATAATTTCGAGTTTTCAAAAGTGCCCTTTGGGCGAAAAATGCAATCCGAACAACATTTTTCGCACAAGTAAAGGGCACTTTGCTCCCGGAAAAAGGGCACGTTTGGAAACTTGGGGGGCCTGCCCCCCCCGGTTCTTACGTCCCTGCCTCGTACCACATCAAGTTATATGCATGAGGGAAAGTGGGTTGTTTCAACTATTATTTCCAATTGCAATTGCTACTTACATCCCATATGAATTTGTGCTTTCCAAATTCCAATTACCTTAGTATACTGTATACTGTATACATATACCAGTACATCATGATTATTTATATCAGAAAAGGAATTTGTAGTTACTAGCATGGTATACTGAAACACTACAATAGCTGCATGTGTACGAAACAGTATAAAGTTTAAAATCAGTTACAAATACATGCACTATGTGCACTTGCCGTGAAATGTTTTTAATATGTAAATATGGAACAGTAACCAGAGCTTGAAAATTTTCGTCCTTGAAAATTCAAAAATAGTGCTTTAATTCACATTTTGCATGTACCTTTTTTAGTCTAGGACCTGTATATCAGTTTTTATGCGTTTCCCTTAGGACAGGTAATCTCAACTGTTTTAGGGTAAATGACCATGGCGATCAACATGGCATATGTGCCAAAACCTGAATCCGGTACGAAAGTCCTGAAAATGACCCCACCCTGAAACGGCATTGTCGACATAGCTCTAACTTCCGAAAAGGAAAAGCCTGGTGCTTATATAGGGTTTAGAAGGGTTGCTTATAGGGGCGGTCATTGGAAGGAAAAATTCGTCTAAGAGTATAATATTTTACAAGAAAATGACCATGCACCACTCCCGGTAAATTGCTAATTATGCATAAAATAACTAATATGTTTGGCAGAAATTAAATTTTCTTATTTCCTTAAAAATACTATCATAGGATGAAAAACTATGCTTAATTGAATATAATTATTGTTATTCCATTAAGATTGTCATTGTTTTCTTAAATATAATACATTGGGACTATTCTACAATGAAGTACTCTTGGATACTGCAACTTAAATACATCTGAAAACGAAGAAGTGGTATTTATGGGGCAAAGAAGCGGCGAGCCATTGCATTGGCGTCATATTTCACGAATTAGCGAAGGACACAATATCGAATATAAAATACACTGCACTGTTTCAAAACTTGATGAAACTTGGTTGAAAACTTCTTTAGCCATTTATCGTTATGTAAAGGTACAACAACTGGCTGGTGTTTGCAAGATTCAGCAATAAAAGCAAACAAGACGCCAAAATATGGCTGCAATCGTATTTTCGTGGGGGGAGGGGGGGGGAAGGGGTTAAGTGAAATAAAATGTATTATATTTAAAAAAACAATGGCAATCCATATAAAATCCACAATAATTATATTAGATTAAACATAATTTTTCATCCCATAATGATTTTTTTTAGAAAATAAGAAAATTTAATTTCTGCCAGGCACATTAGTTATTTTATGCATAGTTAGCTATTTACCTGCAATCCTTCACAAAATATATTGAGACTTAAAATCAGCAAATTCCTACCATCAGGAGCTCGTCCATCCCCCCCCCCCCTCCTCCCCCTTCAAAACAATGTTGACTGTTATTGCAAGCATTGTGCTTCACAATTTCAACTCAATCACGAGCAACATTGCTCTGTAGGGGGGAGGGGAGAGGTAATTATACTTTCACATGGGTAGTTTCATAATTTTTGTGAAGGATTGTCTGAAATTTAAGAGAAATTGGGAAAGGGTACTCGGTCTTCTTTATTTTTTGACATTGTTCTTTTGAACATTTAGCTTAGTATGCAAGTAACATAAGAAAAACAAACAGTTTGGGTTTGTAAGAAACTGCTGTTAAGGGGGGGAGGGAGGAAGGGAGGCGGGGGGGAGGCACTGTGCTCTAACACTGTTTATATTGATTGTTCTTGGAGTTTTTTAAACATGGCAAGAAACAAATTATACGTCCTTCATGCAGAAGCTTATCATTTATTTTTTTGCAATTTGAATAAAAACAGAAAGGTCTAAGATAAATCCCAAATCAGTAACTTTGAAATATTAATTTAAAGATGCTGTAAAGTCCGTTCTGTGCAGCAGTTCTGCTCATAACAAAGGGGACCCGCAGACATAAACATTGCCAACATTTTGCATCTTTCTAAATGTTCGAATTGAAACGTGGAGTTCATATAATTTACAAGCATAGCGAACCAGAAAAGTGTTAGATATTCAGTATATTAACATGTCTTACAAATATAGCAGTTCAAAAATATGTAAACAAAGCGTTTGTTCACATTTATACGGACTTTACAGCATCTTTAAAGACGATAATTGATAAATTTGTTCAAACAAAATGAACGTCGTACTTACGAAACAGAAAACTCGACTTTATCAATGGCACAAAGAATTCTTACGTAGAAGTTCAAACAAAATAAAGGCTGATTTACATTTTGCAACGCTTCCGAATTCCGATTTCCTGCAGGTTTTGTTGTTGATTTTAATCTATGCAATTATTTATTCTCCTACTTTAACATGCTTTACATGAAGTTTACGGTCAAGGTTATTTCAGATACAGTCATCCAGAGATCTTACATTGTTTGATTTGAATAGTTTCTTCCGAAGTATATATAAGTACGAATGTGCTTTGCACGAGTTACCAACGAGTTAAAATGCTGTACTGAGTGGTTATATATTTACTACCTTAAAAAATAAGCAGAAACTCGACGTTTCGAGTTACCCACGAGTTACCCTAAAAATCAATATACTTTTTACTATAATATAACGAGTTACCACGAGTTATCACTAAAAAAATTAGAAAAAAATATTTATTTTTCTAAATTTTTAAGTGGTAACTCGTTCTATTATGGTGAAAAGTATATTGATTTTCAGGGTAACTCGTTGGTAACTCGTTGGTAACTCGTTCATTATCAAACAGTTTATTACTTATAAAGTTTATAATGCAATGCAGATGACAAATAAGTTTAGTTAATATAATTTAATCCTATCTCACTTGGCTTAAATACTGATGATAATAATGGCATTTAAAGGACATTACACACTAAAATTGCCACAAAATTTAATATTTAATGCGTTGTCTTTTTTACTTGATCACCATGTCAACGCGTTTGTCCATGACTCAATTGTCCTGTCAATAGATCTACAAAATAGACAGAAAAAACAAAAAGAGATAGCACAAGCGAAACACAAGAGTTTTGTGGGTGACACCATCTATAAGAGTATGGGTTACGCCCAAAAAGCCACACCCTATTCTGTGCGAAAAATGTTCTGTTAACGTGTGAACTTATTATGAGAACCATGCAATCCATGATAAGCAATATGCCACTTTTTTACAATGAATTTGAAATTGTTTACAACACGAGGTCTTATGATTTATTAAGACAATCCTTCACAAAATATATTGAGACTTGCATATTTATCTATAAAATCAGCAAATTCCTACCATCAGGAGCTCGTCCATCCCCCCCCCCCTCCCCCTTCAAAACAATGTTGACTGTTATTGCAAGCATTGTGCTTCACAATTTCAACTCAATCACAAGCAACATTGCTCTGTAGGGTGGAGGGGGGAGGAAATTATACTTTCGCATGGGTAGTCTCATAATTTTTGTGAAGGATTGTGGGGTTGTGCATGGTCAGTTTCATTGTACATGGTCAGTAAAATATTTTTTATTTATTTATTTTGCCACAATATATATATATATATATATATATATATATATATATATATATATATATATATATACGTATATATATATATATATATATATATATATACACACTGGTCCCGATAAGTGAGATACATGCACTAACTACAACATGATGTGAAGATCCTAAGTATGCGTGCTGAATTGCATTTCAGACACACAGATTTCCATGTCCTTGGATCATCCGAATCGAAAATTGTTTGAGATGGTGTCAAATAAAATTCTTTTAGCAAGCTTCTAAAGCGTAAAAAAGATGTATCCATGCGGCGTATTTCGTCAGGTAGGTTGTTCCAAACTCTGTACGTGCGCATGCGTGAAAAAAAGTTACACAAATTAGTTGAAAAAGTAGTTACACAAAGTAGTTACACAAATTTTTCCTTCCAATGACCACCCCTAAAAGCAACCCTTCTAAACACTATAAGCACTTCAGAAAGGCTTTCGCTTTTCCTTTTCGAAAGTTAGAGGTATGTTGACACTGCCGTTTCAGGGCGGGGTCATTTCCAGAACTTTCGTCCTGAATTCACGCTTTGGCACCAATACCATGTTGACCGCCATGGTCATTTTACCTAAAACAGTTGAGAATACCTGTCCTAAATGAAACTCATTCAAACTCATATACAGGTCCTAGACTAATTAACGAGTTGTGAACAGGCAGGCCATCATACCAAAGACGAAAGCATTCACTTTCAATCAGTTTAATATTATTATAGCTTTGAATGCTCACTCCTAAGTCAGATACGCGTGCATATTTACATCATAATAATTCAAATAACAGCTATTAAATATATGCTATTACAATTACCATGTTATCTTTCTTTCTTTATAGTTGGCAATAATGGTTTGCATCATGACACAGCCAAAAATCCAGTAAAATTCGACTATTTGTCTTCGCAAATTTGCGAAACTTTTAAAACCAATATGGCGGCACAGCATTTTTTTTGCGAAGGCCTGATCGCTATACGTTTTGAGAGTTTTTCGAAAAAATACGCTACTTTTTAAAAAATCTCCTTTTAAAAACGGTTAATTTTTAAGGAATTGGAAGCTAATTGACGAAGACTTTAACCCTGTAAAGTGTGCATTAAATATACAGGGTGTATTATAAAAAAAACGGAGTCCAAATTTTGTGCTTAATAACTATCGGACTGCTACTTCTAATAAAACGGTTTTAGGTTTATTTTAAAGCCTGTTCATTTATCTTTCAAACAAATGGTCATCCGTGTCTTTAGTACAAGTAATAAAATTGCACAGGAGAAAATTTAGTAAAACCTATCATGTTTAGATGCCGCTTAATTACACAAATTTACTGTGTTATTCCATAGTCGGTTGCAATGTTTGAATTTTCTTGTTCAAACTTTAATGTTCTTGTTGCCACATCGGAAAACTAGTAAGAACTTGTTAAAAAAATTCTAAAAGAGATTAGGTTGTTTTATTTATTTCAAAATCCTAAATTATTTCCAGAAATCATCAAAACAACCTTACGTCCATGCATCGTCCGAACGATCAGCAACATCAAATCGGGCCGTAATGTAAATACAAATTAGCAAGTTGACAGCAAACTAAAACACGCTTCAGCCAGTATTATAACGCATTTGAAGTCAGCAAGTGAATTTAAAATAGTGTATTGGAAGCCATTATTACTTGATTTTTACGAGCAATTGCCAAAATGCCTCAATTTGCTCGTTTTGTTGACAAAATAAGTTATTTTCATCAAGTACCGGTTTGTTATTGCATCTCAAATTTTTGACTCCCCAATCGCAATCACTTAAAATATTATTATTCACGAACTTCTGGATTATATTTACGAAACAACCCACCGTTGAAAAGCTGAATGTCTAAGCTTTAAAATGAATGTAAACCTGAACGTTTTGCTTTAATATTCGTTTCGAAATGTATATTTGAAGCGAGGACTCATAAAAAGCTTTATCCACTCATTATAATTTTATGACTATACAAATAATTATTTTCGCCTTACTTTTAGGGCACAGAAATTAGTTAAAAAAAATTCTCGTTAATTTGGAGAACCCTAGTTTTTGATATCTGCAGTTCTAATCCTAAAGCGTTTACTTTCTTCAATAAGGTAGTTAACAATTTGATTTTTATTTCAAAACAATAGAAAACTTTAAAACGACTTCAAATACATCGGTTTGTCTTTTCAGGTGCATCGTTTTTTAAACCATATTAATTTTCTGATATATTAACTTGCTTCAAACGCAAAATGTTTAATCACCCTTGGGCAAAAAGACCACATGATAATACAAACATTCAGACACTGATTAATGATAATTCACATGTAATTAACACATATATCCCCGTGAGATGTGCGAAAATTATTGCGAGCGCAGATTTGGCACACTTATTACTATTGATTATGCACATTCCAAACATTATTGAACTACGTAAAACTTAACAAACAATTACGAAAAATGTATTGCATCAGTCCTAGCTGAAAATATAGTAAACAAATTTAACGAAGAGTTTTCAAATATCCATACCATGTCCGTTACTTTTTGGTCAATTTCCCAATATCTGCAGGAAAACATTGATTGAACTTATGCCGTGCGTCCATCACACTTTTGTAGCTGATAAATCGCCAATTGTACACGCAATCAGCACGACTATGTGTGCACTGGCCGGGTAAAAATTCTCCAAGGTAATGTTTGTAGAATGTTTGACTGTAGGTTTTCGTTTTCAAACTGAAGGAAGTGGTGTATGTGAACGAATGTCCTCCCTTGCATGTTATCGTGACTTTCGCCGGTACTCGTGAATTATCAAATACGTATCGCTTTGCGAAACCGACTACCATTGCGGCGCCAGGTGTCTTGTAACTAATTTCTACACCTGATCCTGTAGTTGAAGTAGATCCTGTTGTTTTTTCTCTGGAGCTCCCCCATGTAACCGCGCCACCGGCGGAGGCGCCAACTGTCGCAGAGACGGATCCACCACTTCCAAAAAATTTGAAGCTTGCTTCAACAGTGACACTTGCGCTTACCTGCCAGTTCACCTCGGTAGATTTAGTTGTTCCCAACGTGAGCTCTTCTGTAAGACTTTTTGATTGCTGAAGGATGAGGGTGTGTTGTCCTCCAGAGCAACTGGCCGCTGTTGTTACACCAATAAGTTCCTCTCCGTCGAATTTTGCATCGTCCCCAGTATCGATAATCTCCACTTTCGTCGGCTTGCAGCCAGCGCCTTTTATCCAGAACTCGTCCGTTATGTCCCTTCCACAACGAAAATCTGCATTTTTGACATTTCCCTTCTTAGTGTATTGCCAAAACAACGGACAGTTTGAATAACCAATAGCCCACAGACCATTAGGTCGTGGTTTTATATAGAAAAGATCTTTGATGGGCCTCCCACAACGAAACTCGGCATTTTTTCTACTCTTCCCTGGACTCCAAGTCCAGTATAAAGGGCAGTTCCCGGAACCAATTGCATATCGGTCGCCACGTTTCTTAATCCACATAGGATCACCTTTAGAAGTACCGCACCGAAACTCGGCATTCTTTTTATAATTATCGCTCCATCTCCAGAACAAATGACAGTCATCTCTATAACCGATTTGAAGGTCTGTGGCTCCTACAAAGATGTCTGCAGATATCGACGTGGTGCAGCTCACTGTATGGAAACATATAAATGCTATGATAGCAATAAACTTCATCTCTATATCGAAACTGAAGTAAATAAACAGAACATTAGAAATTCGGAAGAAAAACAATAGTTGATATCGAATACCCAGTAAACCGCACAAAACATAAAATCGCGCAACAAATCGCAAAACTGCATAAAAATATAGGGCAGTGCAATTCCATGGGGGGAGGTAATCTCAGCGTTTCTCGTCTTCTAATTGATATATTGGCTTGGAATAGAATAGAATATAGTCAAATTCGAGACTGAATAGCCAACGATTGCAATATATGAAACAATACAAGGTGTAAAAATATTCCAGTCAATTTGTTGGCTCCTGTGAACCTCGCCGGTTTATTGCCGACGGGTAGTCCATTAATATCTTTATCATGTGATAAAAGTTGGCGACTGTTCAATAGCTGAAGGTTAGGGTATTAATATACAATTACTTTATGGTTTCCGTGTTTGGATGGCCTGATCCGAACATGGGTTCCGACCAATCAGAGCACGCGTTATATACATGTTATTTTATAATTAGGTTTATTATAGACCTTATTCATAAATCGTGATGAGGCCTCGTATCCTAGGAAACGGGAACAAAACGCGGGAAAATTGACAAAATGTTTTTTCTGCTGTCGGCTATGGCAGCTTTTTTTCGTGAATATTACGGCTTTTTTCGAAAATATATCTATATAACTGAGCTTGAAAGTTGAAAAAAAATACTTCTGAGAAAATATAACATGATATTTAAAGCAAAAGATGCTGGAGTCAATCGAAAAAGGGAATCTTTGACTTGGTATTATTGTCGTAGTTTGTATGGCCGAAACAAACAACCAACAAGGCTACAAAACGTCTATACAATACCAAAATCGTAAGAAATATGAAACAATTGTTGAAGAAATAAGATTACAACTCACTCAGGTAATGTAGCCTTCATTTTTTAAACTTGTAAGCTGCTTGCAGAATGTTATCGAGCCACAGTCATTAGTTCATATTTTTCCGTACAGTATGTGGCCCAGTTTCAGGTCAGTACCAGTAGCGGGTAAATAGAAATTTGATTTCATTTTTTTCCGCCGAGATAAAAAGCGACGCGAAATGAAATATACAGATATAATGGCGAACCTTTCCTTTTTTGGATGATAGTTTTCGCGCGCTTTTTAGTTGAACTGTATTCAAAGAAGAATCCCTTTTGTCCGGGTATGTTTATATTCTTTTACTAAAATTTGTTCATTTCACTGCAACGATAGATTATTGCCGAGAATATATAAATATGAAATGGAAAGTTTAAGCATTCAATTATTCAGAGATATATTCTGGTCCCACAAATTACGTAAAGTTCAGCTTTGTGGCCCAGTTTCGGGTCAGCTATGTTTCAACCTTTGAAAGTGGAAGCACTGCTTAGAATGCACTCTGCAAAAACTGTGTAGAAGAGGTAGTTTCAAGCTGGAAATATCATGTCTAAACCTTGTCAAAACCTCACAAAAAAGTTGTTAAGAACTTAAGACATATTGAAACTATAAAAAATGATCGAAAATTGCCGTAAAACAAACGCTTTTATACAATAAACAAAGAAACTTGAAGCGACCCGATACTGGTGCAGTTGACCCGATACTGGGCACCTAAAATAATTCTTAAAAATATAAATAATTCTAAAAGTGAAAAGTAAGAGAAGTCAATCTTTTGAAATATTGTTAAGAAACACATTTGCTATTCTCAAGTGAGCATTTAAAAATCGTACCTTTCTTGAAAAGGAATATATAGCAGTTCAAACCTGAAATGACCCGAAACTGGGCCACATACTGTACGAATCAATAACATTTGACGTTCTCTTGTGATTTTTGACTGTTATTTTCTTTCATATTTATGTCAAATTTCTAAAATTATACTTCCATTCCCTAGTTGTCTTGATTCTTCATGGAATAAACCTTTCAGTATTGACGTTAAAATCTCAGTAAAATACTGTTTTTTGCTTCCGTGGATAAACACCATCGCCACATTGTCATTTTTTTTCACACAAAAACGGGAGAAAAACCGGTCGCTTTTATAATATACTCGTTTACCGCTTTCGTTGTGGGCACAAAGTCTTAAAATACACACAAAAATCGTTATAAATCGCAAAAAGCAACAAGAAACAAGCCGTTAAAGTCGACACAATAGCATCTGAATTTGGCTTGTCAAGCAGTTTTCGCTTGTTTTCCCGCGTTTTGTTCCCGTATCCTAGGATACGAGACCTCGTCACGATTTATGAATAAGGTCTATATGGCAAGCATCACTTCCGATGAAATGGCGGACTGTGATTGATTGAGAAGCACTTTCAGTGGTCCATTATTTTTCCGTAATGGACCGGCGGTCCATTACGTAAAAGCAAACGCATGTGTTTTAAAACAAAACTTAAAATTTGAAAATTATCATTTAATTTGTTATTAATAAGATGTCCGCGAATGGTTTTAAGCGGAAAGGAAGGAATACATTGGTAATTTTTGTTTTCTTTGACCAAATGTGTACCATGCTAGTAGTATATGCATTCCAAATCAGGTATTTCTTCATTGTTTCGAGTATAAATGCCTATAATTGCTATATAATAAACTTTCTATTAATCTCGCTTGCTCGGTCTTTATAGACAAATATCGGACCTTCCCAGGATTTGTGTGTTTGAATATTTCCATGTATAGTATTATTAATAGGTAATACCATGATTTCTTGTGCAATTTGAAAAAAAAAGCACTGGCTTTTCAGGTTTTCAA